TGATTTTGTCGATGAATGTTAGGAGAGTGTTGGTTGGAGTGTTAGCCCTAAACTGGAACCTTACTGTTCTCCAAACGTCCAAACTACAGTGCATCAAGTCCGATACGTGCTGTTTGAACAGCGCCCAGCGTCCACTGGGCTGAAATGAGGACTCAAGAAGGACATGACTGAAATGAGGACTTCACGATGTTATACGCGGATGAACCATTTACACAATTAAACATATTGCCCTCTACGACTGACGAGCACAAAACTTGGCAGACGTGGGAGCAAGCGCAGCAGGAAACAAGTAAGAGACAAGGGTATAGAGACAGTTCAAGAATTTGATAAAGATTTCCATTTTTTTTTCTGCAGCTGAATCAGAGCCTAAGGCGCTTGGTGCAACACGCCTTTAATGGAGATATTGAGGGGAATATTGGAGGCAGGCAAGGGTAGAGGATTATCTGGAGGAGCCTTCACGTGTCACCCAGCTGATCTGTGTCAACTCGTGTCACCCAGCTGTTCCGTGTCAACCGGAGGAGCCCTTCACGTGTCACCCAGCTGATGAGGACACTGGGTAGTGAAGATGGTTACAGTGATGAGGACACTGGGTAGTGAAGATGGTTACAGTGATGAAGACACTGGGTAGTGAAGATGGTTACAGTGATGAAGACACTGGGTAGTGAAGATGGTTACAGTGATGAGGACACTGGGTAGTGAAGATGGTTACAGTGATGAAGACACTGGGTAGTGAAGATGGTTACAGTGATGAAGACACTGGGTAGTGAAGATGGTTACAGTGATGAGGACACTGGGTAGTGAAGATGGTTACAGTGATGAAGACACTGGGTAGTGAAGATGGTTACAGTGATGAAGACACTGGGTAGTGAAGATGGTTACAGTGATGAAGACACTGGGTAGTGAAGATGGTTACAGTGATGAAGACACTGGGTAGTGAAGATGGTTACAGTGATGAAGACACTGGGTAGTGAAGATGGTTACAGTGATGAGGACACTGGGTAGTGAAGATGGTTACAGTGATGAGGACACTGGGTAGTGAAGATGGTTACAGTGAAGAAGACACTGGGTAGTGAAGATGGTTACAGTGATGAAGACACTGGGTAGTGAAGATGGTTTGAAATGGAACTTACGCCCCGAAAACACAGCTTGTAATACACCTTCAGTAAACCAAAGCTGGATAACACAACTGTGACAAACAAACTTGGCAACGGAGAGCATAAACACGCTAATATATACAAGCTGGGAAGCCTAATTTGTTTTGACAACGTTTAATAACAAATCCCTTCCTGATTTTACGTTTGTTTATTAGTGTTTAAATATTTCTCAAGACATGCTTGAAGTTCAGGCTGGGATGGGTCAAGCGGCTGAAATAAGTGTTTGCAATATTTAATCAATGTTTATCAATAGATGAGAATAAATCTGTGTTGCAAAGGAAATGTACTTGACCCACTGGCGGACATGTTGAGTCTCCAGCACAGAGACGTGTTGGTGTGTGTCATGCAACCTTTACACACTACATTCCTCACTATCAGCTTCTCTACAAGTTCCTCCCTCAAGAACAAACTACCAAACAGGAGGTGCGAAGTGTGACTACCAGATGTTTGTTTCCATTGCACTAGAAGAGTCCAACCACTTGGACTGGACGGTAGAGCGACGGTCTCGCTTCATGCAGGTCGGCGTTCAATCCCCGACTGTCCAAGGGGTTGGGCACCATTCCATTCCCCCCGTCCCATCCCAAATCTTTATCCTGACCCCTTCCCAGTGCTATATAGTCGTAATGGCTTGGTGCTTCCCCTGATAATTACCTTACCTTGCACTAGGAGAGCAACTTCCACGCTCTTATCGCACTAGACACGCACATTTATGGAACCCATTTTGGCAGCAGGCTTGGTAGCCAAATCTGCTCTGCGCTGGATATGATACACAAGTCAGCTCTGCGCTGGATATGATACACAAGTCAGCTCTGCGCCAGGGACGGTAGCCTAGTCAGCTTTGCGCTAGGGACGGTAGCCTAGTCAGCTCTGCGCTAGGGACGGTAGCCTAGTCAGCTCTGCGCTAGGGACGGTAGCCTAGTCAGCTCTGCGCTAGGGACGGTAGCCTAGTCAGCTCTGCGCTAGGGACGGTAGCCTAGTCAGCTCTGCGCTAGGGACGGTAGCCTAGTCAGCTCTGCGCTAGGGACGGTAGTCTAGTCAGCTCTGCGCTAGGGACGGTAGCCTAGTCAGCTCTGCGCTAGGGACGGTAGCCTAGTCAGCTCTGCGCTAGGGACGGTAGCCTAGTCAGCTCTGCGCTAGGGACGGTAGCCTAGTCAGCTCTGCGCTAGGGACGGTAGCCTAGTCAGCTCTGCGCTAGGGACGGTAGCCTAGTCAGCTCTGCGCTAGGGACGGTAGTCTAGTCAGCTCTGCGCTAGGGACGGTAGCCTAGTCAGCTCTGCGCTAGGGACGGTAGCCTAGTCAGCTCTGCGCTAGGGACGGTAGCCTAGTCAGCTCTGCGCTAGGGACGGTAGCCTAGTCAGCTCTGCGCTAGGGACGGTAGTCTAGTCAGCTCTGCGCTAGGGACGGTAGTCTAGTCAGCTCTGCGCTAGGGACGGTAGCCTAGTCAGCTCTGCGCTAGGGACGGTAGCCTAGTCAGCTCTGCGCTAGGGACGGTAGCCTAGTCAGCTCTGCGCTAGGGACGGTAGTCTAGGGGTTCTTCAAACTACGGGTCCCGTCCCCATTGTTGTCGGTCGCAAAATAAAAATAAAATGATCACGACAAACATTCAAATTCACACAAAAATAAGCGAGCGACAATCTCATTCGCACCCATTACTCGTGATTGTAATTTACGAGAGTGATGGTTGCTGGGTGATTGGTGCTGAATTGCTGCATAGTTCACTTACACTTAAGAATGATTTTGAGCAATTACATTTATCATAATTTTGGATAAAGTTTAAAGGTGAATTTCCACTTTTAAGTAAAAGGCTATCCTGATACTGTTGCCTGTTAATGCTACTTATTTGTGTGAACTAGGATTTTCCACATTAACTCAAGAAGGAAAGAGAGAAACCACCTCAACACTGCACCAGTCACGCGTGTAGCACTGTCTTCCTGTGTTCCAAACTGAAATCAACTACTTACGAACAATCAATCACATCCTACTCATTAAACACAAACTTTTTACAATAAAATTTTTTACTGTGTCTTTTTGCATACAAGTCACAATAACGTGACTGAAGATATGCTGACTGAACCACACGCCAGAAGATGAGGAGATGACCAATCAACGACTTAATAATCGACTTAATAATATCCAAGCGACTTAATAATAATCGTTACAATCGACTTAATAATATCCAAGTGAGAACAACATGCCACGGTGACATACTGACCTTCACAACAATTTTTGACACTGGCCTGGCTAAATATTGTGAAAACAAAAACACTAACTTTTTTATAGTAATGTGCAACATTATTCAAAGATGTTGAGAAAATCAGTGGAACTTTTTGTGCTACTCGTGCTTTTTCCATAGCACCACAAAATACGTAGCTTCAACATCGACCCCTTCTCCTCCCTCCTATTTAAGCAACCTATTCACCTCATCACAATTCAAAGCAAACGAGTAACTATTATATTTTTGTTTAATTTTCACAGTGCTAGGCACCTCCCACTGACTGACTACCCGCACGTCAATGGGAAAGTGTTACTTTTTATGAGTGATAGATTGTTTGCAAGAAGACAGAAATAAACAGCTAGAGACAGAGACAGAATGAGAGAGAAAACTGAGATAGAGATAGGGAAAGTAGGAAGGAGAGAGGGGGGGTGATAGGCGGGGAGGGGAGATGAGTGAAGGAGAGGTGAGAGGGAGGGGGGGATGACGAGGGAGTATGGGTGAGTATTGGGTCTTTCCTAATTCAGTATTTGCTTCAAAATACCAAGTAATATTTAATCTGCAAAGTCCTACTTTTACAGCAAACTAGTAAACTCCCCTCGAAGGGGGGGGGGGGGATACCAGTTTGATACTGGAACAACCCCCCCCCCCTTCCAGCCAGCGCCCGGGTCTTTCTCCCCCTCCCACTTCTTTCCCAGGGGGGGGGGGAAATAAGTGGGAGGGGGAGAAAGACTCGGGCGCTGACTGGAATACAGTACCCTCCCCCCTTCCACTATCAGGGGGATACCAGTTTGCTGTAAAAGTAAGACTTTACAGATTAAATATTACTTGGTATTTTGAAGCAAATACTGTATTAGGAAAGACCCAATACGAGTAACATTCCATGAAGCAGAGGAGTGAGAACTGGGGATGGGTTTGGTGTGGGTTTAAGACTTATCAACCATGGGGGAGGGATTATACACGCCGCAACTCTACCTTATTGACTACCCAGCAATGACACTTTAGTCCCGAGCCTTAACTCAGGACTAAAGTAAAGTCAGTCTACATCCACCGAGAAACGACCTGGGTACACCTCTCGGTGAACATATCTCTTGATGGGAGGGAGATCTAACTCTCACTTGACAGATTCGGCCAAGTTGACAGCGCGCGCACCATGCTTGGCTAGCCCGCGAGCCTCCTCAGGAAATAGGGATCGATGCGGCTTCCCGTTTTGGTGTTTCACTCAGTGTGTGTCGCGCTAAGTTCTGTTTGCCTCATGTTTTACGGAAATTTAGTTATCGTTTGATTTTTGGGAGGCTATTAGTTTATTCAACATCCCAGATTTGATTTGAGTTTATAATTCTGTGAATAGACTCGCTTCACGCCTTGAACGAATTACCCGCTCTACTTCCAATGATCTTTCTTCGTTATTAATATCAAATATATTTCATGCTGTAAATTAAAAACATTATCAATAGGGCACATATCTTAATAAATATAATAAGCAATTTATATATTGTTTAACGGCATCTCATTTGAAACTTGAAAACAATTTTGTGCTAAATTCAAATTTGAAACAATTTGATGCGCTCTGGGAAAATTTCCCGGTGGGAGTCGAGGTCTGGGAGGCGGTGGGAGCCGCTAGCAGACGATCGCCTCGACTCAGTGCTCTACGGTCAGTGTGGGAGGAGAGTTGTTATCGTCTAGAGCGGGAGGGACTTGACGTGAAAATGACGGACGAGCAGCAACAAAACCACGAGGATGACAACAACCCAGGAATGGGGGACATGAAAACAGCTTTCGCCACCGGACAGCGAGGCAGAAAGGGCGCCCTTAAGAAGAAAAATGTGTTTATTATCAATGATCACAAGTTCATCCCCCGATTCTTCAAGCAACCAACCTTCTGTAGCCACTGCAAGGATTTTATATGGTAAGTACAAGAGAAAGGCATTATAGCCGTGACCATTGCACCAAGTGTGTTGAGGCGAACGGTGTGTGGTAAGCACCATGTGTGTTTGGGCCAGCCACAGTGGTGTAGAGGAGGACCACATTAACGAGGTTACGGCCTCTGGAAATTGTTCCACTTGCCGAGCCTGAGGACCACACTACTATGTTTTCAATGCCACATTCGTGCATAATGAGAGGGATTTCCAGTGTTTTTCGTGCACGTATTTCGTATATGTGTTGTCACACTGTTGTGAAGTGATCCTTGTGTGTTGAGCGGTGTGGCGTCCCTCAGGGGCGCAGGGGTGAAGGTGTGAGGCCAGGTCCCTCCCACGAGATGTTCCTCTCTCACACCCCCTCCCGTCCCTGGGACCCGCCCCCTGTGGTCCTCTCACACCCCCTTCCGTCCCTGGGACCCGCCCCCTGTGGTCCTCTCTCACACCCTTCCGTCCCTGGGACCCGCCCCTTGTGGTCCTCTCACACCCCCTCCCGTCCCTGGGACCCGCCCCCTGTAGTCCTCTCACACCCCCTCCCGTCCCTGGGACCCGCCCCCTGTAGTCCTCTCACACCCCCTCCCGTCCCTGGGACCCACCCCATGTGGTTCTCTCACACACCCGTCCCTGGGACCCGCCCCCTGTGGTCCTCTTACATCAAATTCCATTCCAGGGACATCAAATTCCATCCAGTGGACCATTTCTCACACCAGATCTCATCTTTGGGACACTGTGGTCCTCTAGAGCCAGACCCCACTCCAGGGACCCCAATTGTTGTCTCTCACGCGAGATCCCCTGGGGTCCTCTTGCACAAGCCAATCTCAGGGACACGTTGCAGATGGGAATCTTCATCGTAGTAATATACACGATACCCTTGTGATGACAGGTGTCTTGTGATCATTTTCATCGTGGCTTGTATAGCGAAGGAAAATTTGTATCTGTGCAAATCTTTAAATGAAGTAAATACTATATGACGCGGGAGGTGGTTATTCACCGCTTAATAGTAATAGGACTTGTGCGTTATTCTCAATTACAGTCTGTCAAGATTTATAGTAGAGTAAGGTAAGGGTGTGTGCCATATGGGCAAACATTTCAGTTTAGTAAGTTAATGTTTTGTATCATACCTTGTGGTATGGTACATAAACATTAAGGATCAACGTCTCCATGACCTGGTCTCTGGCTGTCACTCCAGGCGTTCTGCTTGGTGGTTTGGTCAACCAGGCTGTATATGGGGAAGCTTTTCATTTTGGTTAGCTAATGCTTTGTACCATATGGACAAATTTCCCAGTGGAGTAAGTTAAGGCCTTTGTCCTGCCGACCATACAAAATAGTCACAGAAGGAATATATAAGTATGTTCGTGTAAAAGTGTGCTAACAATTGGGAACACAATTTGTTACGGCCACTATGGGCCAGTAACCGGGTTCTTGATGTTATAACTTCTTTTATAGTATCCGACCCCAAGTCGGTAGTATGTTTTCAAGAGCTGGCTGTATAGCACAATAAAGAAATAAGGGCAGGATAAACAATACACGATTCCCTTCACCATTATATATATTAAAGTATATTTACACTTATTTACAGTACTGCCTCTTTCACGCAGGATATTAATGCTTTAACAGTGTTCATCAAGTCCAGTGATTCCACAGTCCCAGTACTTTGTACCAACAGCTAACACACTGCTTAGATCGACAGCGGCTACTTAGTCTTTTTGCAGGACCAAGCTAAGGGTTCGTGGACTGCCCAAGGTAAACTGCCTTCCTTAGTACAACCGCCTCGCTATGTCACCTCTGTGGACATAAAGACGTCATTAATTAGATGTACAGTACACTGGGGAAACCATGAGGTAACACTCGTTCACTGTGGAGTTGATATTATGCTTGTTGCTACAACATAGATGGCGCTGATCTTGATACGCCACCCACCAGAGGTCATCCACATCGACCTCTCCTTCTGACTAAGGCAGGAAACTGGAGTCATTCATTGATACCAGGCCACCACCCACAGATGGCGTTGTCTATATGGTGCCCAATACTAGGGGAGTTGGAGTGTAGACCCATAGATGGAGCTGAAATTGCCGCTCACACTCCGACAATGGTGTAGCTGAGCCACAGCAACCTTCCCGTCTCCCTGTCCTCCCCACCATTCCCTACTCCCCCATCCCCTCGTCCTCCCAACCATTCCCCACTCCCCAGTCCCCTTGTCCTCCCAACCATTCCCCAGTCCCCTTGTCCTCCCAACTATTCCCCACTCCCCAGTCCCCTTGTCCTCCCAACCATTCCCCACTCCCCAGTCCCCTCGTCCTCCCAACCATTCCCCACTCCCCCATCCCCTTGTCCTCCCAACCATTCCTCACTCCCCAGTCCCCTTGTCCTCCCAACCATTCCCCACTCCCCCGTCCCCTTGTCCTCCCAACCATTCCCCACTCCCCCATCCCCTTGTCCTCCCAACCATTCCCCACTCCCCAGTCCCCTTGTCCTCCTATCCATTCCCCACTCCCCAGTCCCCTTGTCCTCCCAACCATTCCTCACTCCCCAGTCCCCTTGTCCTCCCAACCATTCCCCACTCCCCCATCCCCCTTGTCCTCCCAACCATTCCCCACTCCCCAGTCCCCTCGTCCTCCCAACTATTCCCCACTCCCCTTGTCCTCCCAACCATTCCCCACTCCCCAGTCCCCTTGTCCTCCCAACCATTCCCCACTCCCCAGTCCCCTTGTCCTCCCAACCATTCCCCACTCCCCAGTCCCCTTGTCCTCCCAACCATTCCCCACTCCCCCGTCCCCTTGTCCTCCCAACCATTCCCCACTCCCCCGTCCCCACTCCCATTCCCTCGTCCTCCCCACCATTCCCCACTCCCTCGTCCGATGCATTCCCAAAGGGTCTGATGTTCCCATCCTAACCACGTGGGCTGGACGGTAGAGCGACGGTCTCGCTTCGTGCAGATAGGCGTTCAATCCCCGACCGTCCAAGTGGTTGGGCACCATTCCTTCTTCCCCCCCCCCCCCCCCGTCCCATGCTGGATCCTTATCCTGACCCCCTTCCAAGTGCTATATAGTCGTAATGGCTTGGCGCTTTTCCCCTGATAATTCCCTCCCTCCCTCCTTCCCATCAGAAAATTGGGAACATCAAAAGGTCTGATGTTCCCATCACTGAAATATAAGAAAATCAGTTAAAAAACGAAATGAAAAAAATGAAAAAAAAATTATACACACGAAATGAATGATATGATAAACAGCACAGCTCAATTCGAACGCAATGTCACACAAAATAATTTAAATCAAAATGAAAATAAATCGAAATCTATGAAAATTCAATTTGTCAATGAAATTGGCAACATTGAAATGGAATCGTAACATATTTAGTATAGCATGTGGTGCTAATATGTGTAACAAATGGTGCTATTTAAAAAAAAAAAAACATTTTTTTACCTGTCACAGGTGTGGCACCTATACAGTAGGTATATAAAAACACGCCCGTATTCGAATGGAACGTTGTGTCAAAATTTCAAAGTAATTGGTGAAGAACTTTCGGAGATTACAGCGTGTGAGCTCTTATGTCCAACAGATGGCGCTGTTTTAAAAAAAAAACATGTTTTTACCTGTCACAGGTGAGTCATGTATATAGTAGGTATATATAAACACATGCCTATTCGAATGCAACGTTGTGTTAAAATTTCAAATCAATTTGGTAAAGAGATTTCGAAGATTTTCCTCACATGTAAAACACTTTAAAAATACAGTTTTTCAAAAAACATGTTTTTTTTTCATCACAAACCTGGCATCCAAATAGTATGTATATAAAAACCCGCTCGGATGCGAATGGAACATTGTGTGAAAATTTCAAGGCAATCTGTGAAGAACTTTCGGAGATTAGCGACTTCTTTGAACAAACGAACATTTACACACACACACACACACACACACACACACACACACACACACACACACACACATATATATATATATATATATATATATATATATATATATATATATATATATTTATAATATAAGCTAGGTAGTTTTAAGTACAATTAGCGAAGAATGTGTGCACATCGGAGCTCGAGGACTCTGCTACCTACTATATATGTGTACGAAACATTGCTGGAAGAAGGCTCAAGTGTTATAGATGGAACTTGACAGACTCCTTCAGGAGTTAGCGGGTAAGTCGGGTTGTGAAGGCTGTGTTGCCCTACGGGCTGCAAGCACAAATATTGTCATAAATTAGGCAAGCAAGTCGTGCTTTAGGCAAGCTCATAAGGAAAGAAATTGAAATTTGACCGTAGGTTAACCAAGTTGAACAGTGTGTTGATATAGGCTGCCAGATAGACCAGAAGACATGGCAGGATGTGCAGAATACCCCCGTTGAAGAACAGAGGTGCAACAGGTACTCTGAGAGAGAACTCTATCAACATCAGAGGCCCGAGACTGTTCAACACGCTTCCACTACACATAAGGGACATAACTGGCAAACCCCTCACAGTGTTCAAGAGAGAACTGGATAAGCACCTCCAAAGGATACCTGATCAACCAGGCTGTAACTCATACGTCAGGCTGCGAGCAGCCGCGTCCTACAGCCTGGTTGATCAGTCCAGCAACCAGGAGGCCTGGTCGACGACCGGGCCGCGGGGACGCTAAGCCCCGGAAGCACCTCAAGGTAACCTCAAGGTAGGCTAGCTTAGGTGTTCTTTGTGGAGGAGTCTTAGACCTACCACCGTTAGCTTCCCCGCTCTGTGGCAAGAGTTGCCATTGTCAGAGTTTTTTTGGAGGGGAAGTTTTGGCTATGTTAGTATTGCTGCTCTTTGTTGGCAGGTTTGGCTTTCTGATTGGCTTTGTCGCCTTTGTGGTGATAAGTGTAAATATGTCTTCAAGTTTGGTTCATCACGGAGTCAAGGTACGAGGTAAAAATCATGACTGGCAAATCCCATACATTCCGACAATAACATTCCGTGCACGCCAGTGTCATCCTTTGAGATGCAAATAATGTAAACGTGGCA